AGAAGGGAAACAAAAAAAAATATGAGAAAAGAAGGAAGAAATGGAAACAAAGCTTTTGTAAATAGAGAGGGGTGGAGGGGTGGAAGGGGGAGGGAAGGGGAATGGGGAAAAAACAAGAGCCAAGATATATCATGTACAGGTACAAATTCCCAATGATGAATGTGATCATAATGTATATCTAAAATATACCAATAAACTTAATGAATAAAATATATGTGATAGAACTGCCCATACATCTTAATGTACTTTATTAGTTTATATTAATTTTACAGAATATTGGGGTTTGATGTGGTATTTTCATACATACATGTAACATTTTAATATTTTGATCATATATGATCCTCCCATTACAGTTACTTAGAGCCCCTCCTTCTCTTCCTCTTGTCTAATAGTACTCTCCTTTCTACTTTCTTGTTCCTCTTTTTTTATTCCATGGATTAGGGAAAACATGCAATACATATCTTTCTAAGTTAGGCATATTTTGCTTAATACGATGATCTCCACTTCAACCCATTTTCCTGCAAGTGACAGCCAAGGATTTTATTTTAGTACATGGTGAGAGATACTGGTCCAGATTGACTTTTCTATACATAGATAATTGAGTTTCACTAAAACATTTGTTAAAGAGGCTATCTTTTCTCCAGTGTATGTTTTTGGCTGCTTTGTACAAAATCAGATGACTGATGGTCCCTGGGGTTGTTTCTGCATCCTCAATTACATTCCATTGATCAATGTGTCCATTTTTTGTGCTAACACTTTTCTATGAACCCAACCAAGGAGAAATCTAGAATATGTCTCCAAATGTTGTAACATTTTTCCTTATGCACTTAAATTAAAAGTTCTCTACTTTTTGATAGAAAATCCTAGTGACACTGTATTAAAATTTGCCTGTTGCTTTCAATGAAAATCATAGATATTACACCAAATATAATATATGCCTTGACCAAAAGAAAAACTTTAATTTATAAAACATTTTAAAATACAGTTTAAAACTTTCAAATCCACATAATTTGTACTAAGCTATACAAATATTGTCCAGACACTAGCCTAGTACATAAGAAAGATATATAAATTATGTGCATGTAAATTAGTCTCCTAAACTGGTGATAAGCAGTTGGTTGTGATGGGTATTATACTAATAAAGTATCATGTCACATTTATCAAAAATGAGATCCACAATAACCCTGAGAAGTAGTTATTAATTGCATTTTGTAGGTAAGGGAACTATGTGTAAGTAACCTCCATTAAGTCACCTAGCTAGTGAATGATGGAGCTAGGAGAGATAATTTCTGCATAATGCCTTTCCAGGTATAGTGTCTGGCTCATTGAGACAAAGCTCACGAGATCTGAAAGTCGCGCTTTTTGGGGAATCTTGTTGGTGGTCTCAGTGGTTCTTGCTTTATTATTTTTCTAGAAGGAATCTAAATATTCTGGCTTTCCAGAATTTAAGTGACTCAAAAATTCATAATTTTATAAACATATTAAAATTCAGATCCTGAGAGGCTGAATAAAATTTAACCAGATCACCAAATCTAATTCCTTTATCTCTTCTCCTAAAAAGCAACTCAATAAAAAATTCAAGTAAAAATATTTCTTTAAAAATGTTAGTCTGGCAAACCTACTATTACATCATTAATTCAAACATCAATTAACTTGTAGAATATAATAAAGCTCTCCAAATTGGACTGAAAAATAATGTAATGGGAGACTTCAAGGAAGGAATTTGGGCTGCAAAATAAGGTAGTTGGAAAAGCATGGGCCTTGGAATCAAGCAGCCCCAAATCCTAACTGCAATTATACATAGTATATCTTTAGTCAAGATACTTAATTATTTGGAGTCTCAATTTTTTCATCTGAAAATTGTAATATTCATATAATTATTTGCAGCAATTTTATAAATGGTATTATTTGGTGTAATTTTAAATATATTTTATAATATATCATAGTGTAAATCTCTCCCCTTTATATGTAGATCCTAAATGTGGTGCCTTTTCACGGTGATATATTTCATCCTAATTCTTGGAAGTATTCATGGTGTCTTTATAAATCAAAACCCTGAAGCAAATATTAATATTGTAAGTTGTTAGGAAATATATCTTAATTGCTGAGATAACAGAGAATGCTACAGTTCAGATTTTAGAGTTAATAAATGTGTAGTTAAATGTATATCTCTGCATTTATGTACTTTGATATTGGTCAATAAATGTTTTCCATTTACTGTTATATAGTTTCATCTTATCTTTTTATTCTTCATATGTATTCTATCACTATGATGAAAATATATGTATAATAAATATATTCATGCCTTCATGGAGGGCATATATGTTCTCTGCACATATTCAGAAATAGACAAATTAGAAATTAGATATAGGCATACACATGAAAATATTTATGAATACACATATTTTTAAATTGTATATGGGTGGGAATATAAACAATGAGTGACTAGCACTTAGGAAAGAAAATATTAATGGGCTGGTTCTTGAGTTATGTCTTTAAAAGTAGGAATTTAAATTTTTAAAACTTTATCTTTGAATCACTAATGTTTGAATCTCATACTTAATAAATGTTCCATACGTATTTATTACCTATGTAAATCCATGCATTAATGAGAATAAAAATACAAAGACAGAATACAAATTATTACATAATAGGTTATAAATGGAAAACTATTCAATGTATTTAGTTAATAATTTTATGCCAGAAGGTTTGCTTTTTTCTTTATCCAGAGTCAAATAATTTCCTACTGGGGATACCCTGATGAAGAATATAATATTGTAACTGAAGATGGTTATATCCTTCGCCTTTATAGAATTCCTTATGGGAAGACAAACACTAATAATTCAGGTAATAGTCAAATGAAGATAGACTGGTGACTATCTGGGGTCTTAAGTTTTATATTTCCAAGTAAATATAACTGAGGAAAGAGAAGGATTTTAAGATTAAGTGAACTTCTCCTGAATCGTCCTGCATACTTCAAGAAGCAAATCTTATTCTCCAGTGGTTTTTGTTAATTCAGTGGTTTGAAAGGATGGCGGATCACAAGTTATGCCCCCCAGGTTTTCAATTAATCATACTCATTATGCATGTGGATTCTGTAGAATTTCTTTGATAAGGGGTTAGGAATGCTCCGAAACAATTGCATTATTATTCTCTAGGTTTAAAGAAAGGCTAGTAAATATTTCCTTCTGTGTCTGTGTTTCTGTCCTCCTGGAATAGCAGGGATATTTAATTGGTAGCACCTTTATGTGTTCCATTAGTAGGTATCAGCAGAGTATAGTGTAAAATGCACTAGAATTTTCAGGAGACCTGGACTGTAATCTTAGAGCCACCATTTACTGGTAAAATAAGTAGTACATTATTTTTCTTATCCAATTACCCAAAGAAAAGCCAAAGATTTTTTTTCTTTTCTCCTCAAATTTTTTTCCTAGAAAGTCTGTTTCTTCTATTTCAAAACATTCTCTCAAGTTCTTATTTTTGAACATTAAAATTCATTTCAGAAAAAACATTAATTTGAAGCAACCTCAATTAATATAATTTTGGATACTTAAAGAGATCACATCTAATAGGGAAAATTTTTTTAAAGATTTAACATAATAATAGTAAATATCCTCAGAGTATGACTTCATTTTGCAAGCACTCTAATAAAAGACTGAAATATATTTTAAAAATACACTAAGAGCCTTGGAGTGCTCTAGTAGCAGAACCTGAGAGTGGGATTCAGGGCCATATGTGATTTATTGATAGAATACTGTCAAAAGTAGTAATGTGGAAATTAGGATAGGGAAGGGAAGGAGCTAAGAAAGGATGTGATTCTGCTGGAGTCCAAAGATTTCAGAAGTGCTCATGGATCTCATGAATAACATTATAGAGCTGATCAATCGCTGATATTTGGGAGCCAATTTTCTGCATTCCATATTAGATAATCATTGTCTAAAAGTCATCCCTAGAAAAAATTAAAATCTCCTTTTGGCTTAGAAATTTCAGCAGAGAAAGAAGCAATGGAGAATCTTTAAAAAGAAACACTAAGGTCACAATTACCTCCTCCACAATCAATTCTACTTATCTTTCCCTCCAACCTAGCTTGCCTGATGAGGTAACCAAATCTTCAACTTTCAGAGCTACCCTATCTATATTGGATCAAAGTTGTTGTGCTTGTGCATGTACAGTTAAAAAGAGGATGGAGGTATTAAAAAATACCTCAGTGGGGAGGGTCACTTCTGTGGACCTAGTAAATTCAGAGAAATCTAGGATTGATGTTTCTGAAGTTATTCCAAAAATACTCATCTAAATACTCACTTTAAGTCTCAGGAGCCCATTTCTGACCTATCATGGCCCTAAATATACAATAAGTTATACCCAGTGCCAAGAACTCAACTTTTCCGCAGTTCTATTATTATTATAAATGGGTTCTAACCAAAAATTTCAATTCTATTTTCCCTCAAACTCGAGGACATGCATGCAGGTGTTTAGATGCTGCCAAGGAGGCCTTTTGACTTTCACATTATGCTTTCGCATGGGTGATTGTTTGCCTATGCCTGTAATTTCTTATCTTCAAAATATTGGCACTCAGCAACAACCACCCAAATCCACAGACTTCTTAATTATATATACTCTCTGTCTTTCAACTGTCAGAAACACTGTAAAAACCATTCAGTCCTTTTCTGGATTTAATCCTAGTTCACTATAGGTGATATTCTAGCCATTGGAGTGCTACAACATGTAAGTTTCTTTCAATACTTCACCTACAACCAGTGGTAGGATCTTTATTGCCCACCAGCCAGTAAGTAATTCAACTCCATAATTCTGTCCTCAAGTGTCTGGTTCCTTGATCACATGGTGGTAATTCTTAGGTTAAATTCCCTAGAAACAGACAGAAATTCTTATGGGATTCCACAGTGATCCTCAAGACATGGATTTGGCTGTACACAATTGTTTAAGGGAATCTCAGGGATAAGGTGATGGGGGAAACAGAAGAGAGCAGAGGAAGGGGTTAAGAAAGGGTAATTGTGACTTTAGGGTTTCTTTCTAAAGATTCATCATTTCTCCTTTCTCTGCTGAAATTTCTCTAAGCCAAAAGGAGATTCTACTTTCTTTGAGGAATAACCTTTAGGCAGTAATTATGTGATATGGAATGCAGAAAATTGTCTCCTGAATTTCAGGGAGTGATCGGCTCTGTGGTTTTGCCTAAAATCTAGCCTCAGGCTGGTGACTTCATTTCTTACAGAACATGAAGTAGATCAGAGTCATCTAGCCATGAGGCAAAGAATTCAGTATTTTCCCCTTTTGTGTCTCTTAGTCAAAGTACGGATTTGTCTTCCTCCTGCCCCAGTGTGGGGACTCCCTTATAGCCAAAATTACATTAATTGCAATGTATCATTTCGCAAAACCCTTTGAAGTACAGATTAAAGCTCTGGGAAGTCAGGTGGCTAAAATAGTGACTGTAATGCATGACATCAGTATTCAATATGCCTGTGAAAAGTGTAATCGTAAAATTGTTTTATGAAATGTGGAAGTGGGAAAACCAGATAAGAGATATTCATGTAGCTGTTATGTGATTTATAAAGAAATTTTCTGCAATTTTTCCCCAGCAAAGAGGCTTGTTGTATACTTGCAATATGATTTGCTTACATCTGCCAGCAACTGGGTTTCCAATCTTCCCAACAATAGCCTAGGCTTCATTCTGGCAGATGCTGGTCATGATGTGTGGATGGAGAACAGCAGAGGAAACACCTGGTCCAGGAAACATGTGTCCCTAGAAACAAATTCCCAAGAGTTCTGGGCTTTCAGGTACAAGTAAAATAAAGCAACTTTTCATTTTACTTTTAAAATATACTAATCATTTCATTCTCTTTCTGGGGGACATAAAATATAGGTCTGACTTTTTTCTCAATTCAGTACTTTATTCTATAGACCATAAAAATTTTTGTAAATTTTAGCTTCAAAGTTTAGAATGCTCATTTGATTATGACCTTGTTACTAATTTTTCATCAGTGCATTTTATTTCTTAATTGGTAACTTATTGACTAACCCCATTCTTGTTTTACCTGCCTTTTCCTTGGTAACTTATGTATTGGATCTACCCCACTGTATTTACAATATACAAATACCCTCTTTATAAGACTTCTTGGGATTATATTTCTTTGACTGTAGGTGCCCCACAGAAGTTTATATTGTACATTATACCACATAACTTCTTGATGGTACTCAAAAGAATTGAAAATTGCCTTTATTCATTTACCTATTCATTATTTCCAAATGTTAATATAACACTAGAAAGAAGTACAATTTTTATTTTCCTATTTCTTTTGTAGTTTTGATGAGTTGGCTAAATATGACCTTCCAGCTTCCACTGATTTCATTGTGAAGCAAACTGGGCAAAAAGAAATATTTTATGTAGGCCATTCACAGGGCACTACTGTTGGTATCCTGAAGAATAGTACTGCTATCTTCATTTTAATGACTTTAAACAAACAATAGTATATAATGTTTAATATCCTCTGTATCCTAAGAGGCAAGAAGTTTTTAAATATATTAAACATAGATATTTTACATTTATTGACTCTCTTACCTGAGGTGTACAATCCATACATGTGAAAATTACACTTATCTCATTTTCATCATTGCTAGTTATACAAGTGGTCAATATTTCTAACTTTTATTCATTATAATTAATATTGATTTTAAACTATACTACAAGTCTGCTTACTACTAAATTGTCATCCTGTATAATTCTCTTTACAACTCTACGTTGTGGTCAATATAATGTCACTGGGTGACCAAAAGTGTTTAAGTGAACTGAGCAATGGATGAATAGTCAATTGTTCAAAAACTATTTTTGAACTTACTTTTATTCTCTGTGAGGTCATTTTACACACTAGTAATTGCTTAAGAATAGCTAATTTATGTAATATTTTCTTTCAGCTTTCATAGCATTTTCTACAATACCAAAGATAGTGGAAAAAATCAAATCAAAATATTTTTGCCTTAGCACCAATTTTTTTTGTTGAACACACAAAATGCCCTTTAATTAAAACAGCATACAAGTTTAAGTCAATAATAAAGGTATGTTCTACCTTTCTTTTGTGCAGTCAATAACCTAATGTAACAATGATATTGTGCCTTTAATTTATGTTTATACAGCCACATGTTTGAATTGGGATTTTAGTTTCATTTTCACTGGACTCTTGCCTTTGTTTTTACAAAGGAATAAAGTATTACTTGTTATATCTTTAGATAATTCATTGTGAGAGAAAACCCAGTGGTGAAAACCATTTCTACACTTGATTCCAAGTTTTTTCCTTAATGTAAAGTTTTTAAACTACTAAGAGATTGATTGTATATGTTGTATATGTTGTAAATTCACCATATAATTTCTTAGTTCATTATTGTGTTCTTAGCCAGTCATGGTGGTGTGCATCTGTAATCCCAGTACTATGGGAGGCTGGAGAAGGAGGATCATGATTTAGAGGCTAGCTTGGGCTATAGAGAGAGTTTAAGGTCCACCTGGAACAGGGTGAGACCCTGTATCAAAAAAAAACAACAACCCCAAAACCATAGGCTATTGAGTAAAAAAAAAATGACTAAATTAAAATTATTGTGGTTTTCTAAATGTGAGTAAATTTATTTTACAGGCTTTTTCTGGCAATAAAGACATTCTACCTAAAACGTCATTTAACAATTTTGTTGGTTCAAAGTTCTGTTCACTACATAGTTTTGACAAAATGTGCCTCCACACTTTGTTTATGATATTTGGATATGACCTAGAGAACTTAAATATGGTGAGAACAAGTAGCATTTCAAATGTATTTTTACCAATTCTACAAAGCAGCTCTAAGTGTTTATGTTATGCATTGTGTCATTTATGATTCTTCCACATATACAAGTAGTAACATACACTAGCAGTTAATTCTTAGCCTGATTTTATGACTACATCAACATTGTGCACCTAATTTACATGAGCATGCTGAGATCATTTTGATTCCATATTTGTCTTGCTATCTGTAAAGACTAGAAAGCGGCTGCTCTGATGAGCATCTTTAGCAGCTTTTGATATTGGGCTTTAGTTTCCTGAGACTTTTTTATATTTAGATTGTCTCGTCATCTGTTTTCCATAACTCTTCTTCTTATGCCCTGGTTCTTAACATTCCTCCCCTTCTTTGTCCATCCTTTCATAATTAGAATTAGTGCCTATCAATTATCAAAGATTCTAGTATTCATCAGTACTGTCAGAGTGTTGTGGTGCTAAGCTACTATTATCAAGACTCTTTGGGTTGGTTGTGTATATGTTCTCTTAAAGCTGTAGGCATTCACTCTAAGACTTTTTGGTAACATTAAATAAGAAGTTCAGATTTGGGATAAGCAATTGTGGCGTTTGGATGGTGGCTGGTTCTTGTACCTAGACCTTTTTAGAACTTCTCAATGAGAACTAATTAACACATTTAGAGAAATACAAGTATTCTCTTAGTTCTCAACTACATTCTCATGCCAGGAGGACATGTTGATTTTATTCAGTCTCAAGAAAGTGTTTTCACATTCCCTGAGAACTATATAGGCAATTACAAGAATATGAAAGAAATGTTTCACAACATAAAAAATTGAACTCAGTTCTTACCTTTTTTGCCCATAGAGTAGGAGAAATGTACTTTTTGACATAAAAGATATGGAGAAAGACATTCATATCTCTTCTTCCTCACATTCTGTTATCATGCATTTACTATGAAAAACTTGGACGAATCATAAAAATAATCTTTATTTTTGCTTACCTTACCCATTCATTCTATATTTTATATAGTATTGTTTCATATTTGTGGGAATTTCTTCTAGGACAGAAATCGATAGTGTTGTAGGTTGTAATGTAGCTGTATCCTAAATCATCTGAGATTGTAGAAAGTTAGAAGTGGAAAAATTTCACAGAGTATTAAGGAACAGTAAGAGCAATACGATAGTTAACCTTGCATGAGTTCACTTGAGCCTGTCACTTACAGTTCACATTTCTTACACTTCTCCTTGTTCTCACTGAGGTTTCTGCTTGTGAGTCCCTGTTTCAGTAAGTATTGAATCTGTGTTCATCTGCCTGTCTCCCCACAGGTTTGTCTTGTCATCTCAGTATTTGGATGGCTCTAAGAAGAGTGGTTGATTTTCAGATGTTTAGCTTTCTACTTATTAAGATGGAGTGGTGACTTCCAAACTCCTTCCATGCTGGACCAGAAATAAGAATTACTCTGTGTTCCTCTCAGTTTTTAAGGATATTTTACTTATTGTAGGTGTGTTCCTTTTGTTTTGGGTTAGGAGTATCAATTTTTTTGTATCAGAATTTTAAGAACACTTTTCCCTGTCTCCGGTTTCCACAGTTTCAAATTAGCCATAAATTTCATAGGTTAATGTGTCTTAATGTATCTTTTTTTCTTGACATCTTTAATATTTTTTATCTTTGTTTTTCAGCAGTTTGAATGGATGTGTCTAGGAATAGAAGGGGTCTTTTTCTCTGTTATATTGTTTAGGGTTCACCTGAACTTCTTTCAGAAAATTTAGACATGCCTCTACCAATTTTTTTTTTTTTTTTTTGTACCAGGGATTGGACTCAGGACCTTGTGTTTGCAAGGCAGGTGGTGGAACCAATGAGCTAAATCCCTGGCCCCAACCAATATTTATTTAATTCTTTCTCTTTTTAAATTTCAAGTGCCTATTTACATAAACACTGGGCCATCTGACAATGCCTGACACCTTTCTTTGGTCTATTTTATTTTTTTCTCTATGCCAAAGTTTGAATATTTTCTATAAGCTTGTATTTGAGTTTATTAATACTATCATTTGTTCTTTTTAATCAGCTTTTAAATTCACCCAATACATTTTAAATTTCAAATATTGTATTTTTCCTTCTTTGACCATTTGACTATAAAAATATAGTAATTTACCCATATCTGTGGTTTTGCTTTCTATGGTTTCAGTTACCTTTGGTCAACTTTGGTTTGAAAATCTTACTATAGAGATATAGGAATTAAGGTATTTTGAGAAAGACAGAGAATGAGAGACCACATTCATATAACTTTTATTATAGCACATCATATTAATTATAGTATATGTATGCACATATATATATATATATGTGATAATCAGAGACAGAGAGAACATGGTATATAGAATATTTAGGGCTCAGTACCTTTGTGTTTCAGGCAAAAGCCTCACCTCCCAAGACTACCATATGGCAACCAAATTTCAGCATGAGTTTTGGAAGGTACAAACATTAAAACTACAGCAGTTACTGTCCACTCAAGAGTTGTGGCTTATTTAGCTAGTTGTCAAAGCTTATTTTTAAGCTGTTTAGAGTAAGTCTAATTCCCTCCAATTCTCTTTAATTCAAGGGCCTACTTATTTTAGTAATTTGATGACTAAAATGCAACTGTGCAGCAGCCAGACTCACTGTTCTTTTTTTCTTCTGTTCAACAAGACTGCCACTCTCTTGACTATTTTGCTCCACAACTTTGGACAATGCCCTCAGGATGAAAGTTGGAATTAATAAATGGTTTTCTTGTAATTTCCTTCCCACGATGTTCACATCCTGTGGTGGTTGCTATTCCAATTTCTGTAAACCTGCATAATTGCTTTATAGTCTGTATCTGATAGCATCTAAAATATGTGTTAGATTTCTTTTTTGCTTGTTCTTTTTTGGTACCTAGTCCCATAAACTTGCTTTTTTTAAATAACTGACCGGGGTTTACTAATTTTGAAAATTTATTTTTACTCATAAAATGGGTAATAAGACAAACCTTTTCATTTTCTTCTGGGCTGGAATATTATTACTTTTTTTAAGGCAACTGAGGCCACTCTGAAAGGTGGGCAACTATATGTCTATCCTCAGGCACTATGTAGGGGATGCACACTTAGTCTGCAGGTTGAGTTATTGGCTGATATACTTCTGACTCAGATTGAGTAATGTAGAATTTGGGACCCAAGTTGATCATGGAGAGTGTTTCATTTTTGAATATCCCAAGTTTGGCAGGTCCTGGGCATTAATTTTGTCTTATATAATGAGTTAAGGTCTCAGAATGAAACATCAAGGTCCCTGGGATTAGCAAATAACCTTAAAGATGAAATATCTTCAGTGTTCTGGTTTTGAGGTTCATTATTTTCTTTTCAATTCATCCTGCTAATTTGTTTTCTATCTTGCCAGTTCCTTAATGGAGTGTGTATGTGTGTATGTTTGATTATTTTTATGAGGGGACATGAAATAACTTAGAAATACAATCATGGTTTCTACATTAATGGAAAATGTTTACAATTTAATAAGTACATTTGTATATTTAAAATACAATTTGACTTGTTTTGATTGATATTTTTTATTAAAAATTGACTTTCATTTA